TATATATAATATATATATATATATATATATATATATATACTCTGTGATCTTCCAAGAAACCTATTAATCTGCAATACTCTGTATGACACACCTTTAAACTACGCACTTCCAGATAGTACCTCTGTACTTCAGTCTTCCATCACAACCAACAACCCCACACAATGCCGTGCGCCCCATCATATCCGATCCTTCTGTGATATCTTCAACTAAGCTATACTGATATAATGATCAAATACACACTCATTCACCTTTCCCTAATGTTCAAATACACACTCACTCACCTTTCCCCCACAAAGTCCTCCAATGGCCCCGCCCACCGATAGAAGCGAAGTGATCCACGAGTACACATCATCGCTCAACGGCGGCTCGAAGGTGGCAGGCTGTACAGAACGCATTGAACCAGAGTTAAAGAAATACTTGTGTGGTTTGGGTTAATCAACTGAGGGTGTATAGACACACTAGGCTGCTCATACACACTTGCATGACGATAGGTTAATAAACGTTTAACCGTTCAATCGGCGAGTGTGAACAGACAGAACTAGTTGCCCAGTACAAGAGACGTCGACTGGCATGCGGCGAAACAATGAATGTGTGTGTATAATCTAAGCTACTTTTATGCGTCCGATGTGTCAACGTGTGGGGAGCCCAGGGGTGGGCATGCGCTGCGTGTGTTAGGGCGGAGGTAGAAGGGTATGTAAAAGTTAAACGGTGGACAGCAGACCCCCATGACATGTATCTCAGGCGCATGGTAAAACAATCTCTTGGCTCTATGAGCGAGCCTATGCAGACACCCCTAGGTGACAGCTCGACTGCAGATGCAATGTAGCCAGACTGAGTGGTGTGTGTGGGCGTGCACAGATATACAACGAAGGACGTACGCTGTGTTGTAATGAAATGTATGACCTCCGGTTGTGTATACATTCGCCAACTAAGCGAGTGTGTATGAGAACATGCAGTAACGTGCGTATGGCATTGTGTATCAGATACACAACGAGGATGGCAGGCCACCAACCATATGTGGAAAAGCGGATGAGAGGTGCATGAACATGCAAACAACTGGCATATATCCAGATATAGCGACAAGGGTAGTCTGTCAAAATACACCACACGGCAAGTAACCCTACAGGGATCACCCGTCAAACACAACACGCACTGTTCACGTGCAGACCCCACATGCGATATACACAGCCCGGATTACGTCGCTTTGTACACCCCTAAATATGGGCAACACTGGTCTGCATACGGAGGAGCAGATCTTACCTACATATCACAAATCACAATATACCTACAACACTCCGTACCGATATAAAACATGAAACTTTGTCGTATACACCTCATACCACACGCTCATACACGCACCCTAAACTCCTCACAACACACCTCAGGCGAAAAGGTGCCATTGACCACGCCGTTCCACTGCATAGCAATCGACGCATTGTTAGGCGTACCGATGCCCAACCCAAACATAATGGGCTGTAGGCACATGGTGAACACACCCAGAAACAAGGTCAGGCTGATGGGTTGGTGCAGAGCGTGTAGTACAGCCGTGTTTGGTCCGGTGGCGTCGATGTCTCCGGTTGAATTGTCACTCAGATCGGTCTTCAGGGTCTCCTTTGCAGTAGACTCGCACAAGCTCAGCATGTTGCTGCCCACATGGTGGACAGGGACTGTGTGCAAGTACAAATGCATTTCAATACACACTTTTGGCGGTTGTACTGGGTGTGGGTCAATCGTGTGTGAATCACCCATGTGTTGTGTGATGGAAGTGTGAAGAGCGATGTTTCAAGCGAACAGAAGCGGCGTGTGACTGAGACGTATGCCACATACAAGCTGGGTATCTAAAATAGGCGGGAGAGGAGAGCATGTCAACTTCCGGCGGACCATATATGGAAGTTAAAAAACGAGGCGGGGCACAAGTCTCGATAGATGTAACTGGTATATGATTTGGTAATACGAAATGCGTGCCTCCGCATCCGTGACGAAGTGGAACGGTTTCGGATCGATACCGCTGTTCGACCGACCCGATCCGACCGGATATAAAACCATTTTGGAGCTTGACCTTTGACCGCATTACTAGCGTGCGTCTCTAATGGAGAGCCCTACTAAGAAATAAATACGTACTACCTTACATCACCAATACATCAGAACCAATACAACAGAAACCAAGGTCGAATAATATTGAATGGCTAGCAATTGGTATATTCGCTTGTGTATCCGACAGTATACTAAGAATGTGGAGCGTATATTGCGCAGGTATGTTGAACTGCACCACGCAACTCGGAATGTGTATCGTGGAGATATATAACTAATAGAAAATTCAAATATATATATATTTATATATATATCATAAAAAACAATATATATATGTCTGTGTGTGAGTGTGTGTGTGTGTGGGTGTGTACGTATGAATGTGTATGTGTGTGTGTGTTT